GTCCGAGGTGTGAAAATTTTGCCCAACGGTTACACAGGCTTACCATTTTTGGTCTGCTCGAGCCATGTTTGATCTTTGGAAAAGGAGGCATCGTATCTCGCGCTGGAGCCGACTCGGAACTTGAGCTTGCCCTTTCCGCGCCGACACCTCTCCCCGAGACGTTCACATTGTTTGCATTTGGGATGATTGTCGTCGCCTGAGGATGTCAGCTGTGTTCAACGCGGTGATACCAGCCAACGAAGAAGGGATCGGGCTGGGAATGACAGGGGCGGTAAGAAAAGGTGGTTCTTGTGGCACGTCGGGGAGCCTTCGTGCAGAACAGCCATGTGCAGAATGGAGCAGGATCGGGAGAAAGAAGGCGCGGCGAGATGAAGACATGGGCGAGCTGTCAGTAGCGGAACTTACATTTCAGATGGCGGTCTTGGGACAGCCATCAGTCAACAAGCCAGCCCGCGTCTCGGGAAAAGAATGGTGACATACCACGACATTCCTGACATGGATCCTCGATCTTATTCGTTGATGCTGGCATGGAGACCTGGCGGAATTTAATCCCTGTAGGACAGAAGAAGGCGTTGAATGTGTTTTTAGCAAGCCATAAGGAAAAAGTAGAAGTAGAAGAATAGGAAAGGCTGGGAGAGGCAACGCGAAGGGGAAGTTTGCCTCTATTTTGCTGTCACGGCAACTGAGGGTGGCGCTGAGGAGGAAGAACAATGGACATGCATGCTATCAACTAGTTTTGAACAAAGTGAGGGTGCAAAGAAAACTCTTCTCGACCACTGGCACACAAGCATCACCACTGACCCCGCCGTCTGTCAGGCGCGTATGCGAAGCGTCAGTAAAAAGGGGGGGGGGGGGGGGGGACAGAAGGGCAAAATAAAGTGTTTGGAAAGGGTTGCAAGCTGCCCAAAACCAACTGCTAATTCGAGCCTTTCAATGGATTCTACGCAGCCACTGACCTTGTTCGCTGCGCCCTCCGCACTCGCTTAGCTGAAGCAAGACGTAAGCGAACAATAAATGACGAGTTGCTATTGCTACGGGGTCCCAGTTCTGAGTCCATGGCTCTAGATTTCGGTGCCGATATTATAGTCCCACGTCGTCCTCTTCTTATCTTTTTCGCTCAACAACTGCAAACCAAAATGTATAGATGAGAATGGCGACGCTGCATAGCTCGAAAAGGAAACGATTGGGAATACGAAGAACAAAGAAAAGGCTTCTCTTTTGGCTCCCAGCCCCTGACCCCTGACCCCTTCTCGTATACCTTGTGCGGCCCGCCTCTAACTCTACCTTCCTCCCATTGAGCTCGACGGGACACCTAGAACTCATAGACCGGCGCCTTGAAAAGGACGTTGACAGAAGTCTGGGGAGCTGCTCCTGTGGCTGCGGACCCAGGCTCTTTTCCATTGTTGCCGCCACCTCCCGACGCATTCGATGTCGGTCCCTTCCCTCGGACCTCGACGGCCAAGAAAGCTGCGAATCTGATCCGGCCTTCATTCGCGCCAGGCGGAGGGGCCAGCTGCGCCGGATCAACTGCCATACTGTGTCGAACATGTCCGCGTTGATCCTCGCCGTCGTTTCCTGCGGAAGCACCTTCGGGACGACTCTCACCGCGCGACGAGATCGAGGGCTTTTTGTTTACGAAGCCACCCAGGAAACTTGATTTCTTGGAGTGCTTCTCGCTCGAACCCTTGACCGTCGTCTGGCTGCTGGCGCTTGCCCCGCTTTCATTTCGTCCTTGTTGGCCTCCGGCGCCTGGGGGTTGGGCTGCTTGCGATGCAGCTTTGCCAGCGGCTTCGCGAATTTCGGCCTCGACGTCACGGTCGCGCGGCCCATCTTCTGTGCTGGCTGTGCTCATTTGGTCGCCTTCTTCTTGCGCTCGTGCCTGTTCTTGCGCCTTCGCCTGGGCTGCTTGCTGTTGGAGGATCCGTTCGTCTGGACCAGGGTTGGTCAGGGCGACTATTTGCGGTTCAATTTTCATGTACGTCTCGTTCACAGGAGTACCCGGCATGAAATATTCAATACAGATCTCGCGCGACTCCAGTGGAATATTGGACGCAATGCCAATGGCTTGTCCAACAATCATGCCAACCCCTTCAACTAATCCTGGGGGCGGAGGGTCTGTCAAGTTGGCTTTCAGTGATTCGGTGAGCTGGTGAGTATAATGCTTGTTCATCGTCTCTATGTAATGCTCCGCTTGCTGGGAACTGAGCACGTCGTGCAGACCTTCAATGGTGGTGAGTCGCCAGGTCGTGATTTTGGTTGTCAAATCGTCGCGTTGCTCGTCGGTCAGCAGAGTGCCAGCCTGCCCTCCACGACGCAAGTTGTGTTCGATGTGTTTCAACTGCGCCGATAATGATGGTTCAATGCCTGGGTGGAACGTGTGCTGGAAGATACTCTCGTATAGCCATCGAGTAATACAAGCTCGCCCTATTGCGGTCATTTCTTTCGTGCCGACAGTGTGAGCATCCTGGTTGCACACATGTCGCAGCCATGGCGGAATCGCCCGCCAATTCTTGCGAATGTTGAAGGAAAGGTTGTTAATGGCCTGACTCAGACGCTCAAATCTTGCCGTATATTGAGCGTCATCCAGCGACGTTTTGGACATCGACAGACGCTGGTTTGCCACGGTGTTCTGTAGCTGAGTCACTTGAGCCTCCCGCTCAAAATAGTATCGCTTGACTTTGGAATATTTCGCCTGCAATTCCTCATGGCGTTGGAGAAGTTGGTTATAATCCAACTGACTGATATCCTCTCGGCTCCTTGGAGGGGGCGTGCTTCGACCTTGTTCAGACGCTGCTTGTTGAGACATTCTCACTCTCGGGTCGGCCTGGCTTTGATTCTGATATTGACTCTGATCTTCAGAACGGGGTTCTCGCTGCGACAACTGCTGGCGAATGCTCCCGTTAGGGTGATCGCCTCTTGCCATGGCAGTCTGGACTGGCTGTTGACCTTGAGTGGCCGATTGAGCCGAATAACGATTGGTGGCCGCTGTGGAGGGGCGAGAGTCTTGAGCAAGTTGGGGGTGAGCAGGGGTGTTGATGGGAGAAGGAGGGCCTAGGGATGCTTGGGATGGTGGTCGAAGGTGTTGATACGGGTCAGAGTCTACGTTGTTGGGTCGGGGCTGCGGGGGTTGATAGGGCAGGTAGTGTTCCGAGGTGCTGGCAGACTCGCTTTGGTAATATGCGTGATATTTGTCTTGTTGCGGACTGAAGTGAGGAGCGTCTTCGGCGTAGTCGACCGATTGATGTGTTAATTGGCTTTGTGGAGAGTCGAAATGTCCTTGAGGCCTCTGGTACTGCTCGTATTGGGCTTGATCCGCAGCCTGATCTATGTGTGCGACTGAAGCGTCGGTCGATGACGCAGGGGGGTAATAGGTCGAATGTCTTGATGGATGCTGAGACTGGGGGGAGGTCTGCGTTGAGTACGAGTCGCGGGATGGGTGATCAGGAGGGTGCGACTTTCTCAAAAGATGGACTGAGCTTGATCGTCCAAGAGGTTTGCGCTCAGGGGGGCCGCTTTCTTTTTCCTTTTCTCGCTGTTTATCTTCGTCCTTGCTCTTGTCTTTGATCAGGCTTGTGATGAAATTGCGCTTCGATCGTTTGTGTTCCTTGTCTTCAATGGTTCGAACTTGTCTTGACTGGCCAAATGTTGTCTGTCCTGGAATGGGAGCGGGGCCTTCGGGAATGAAGGCTTGCTGCTGAGACAGAGGAGGCACAATGTTTACTTGCGGCCTTTGAGTTCCATACACGTCGGGGATGGAAGGACTGCGACCGCTTTGGGTGCGTCCCAAGAGCGGAGGGGCAGCTGGAGGAGGCTGAGGTTGGGACAGGTGATCTGAGGCTTGTCCCTGATAATGAAGGTCGCTCAATGGATGCGTTTGTAAAGGTGGTTGAGGATAGAGTTGGTGCTGCTGCTGGTGGTCGAAAAAAGGCTGTTGACGTCCCTGATGCTGAGGCTGGGGCTGCTGCTGTTGCTGATGGGGATGTGGATCAGGGTGTGTCTGAGGGTCTTCTATGGAGGCCTGCGACTTGTTGCTCTTGAAAAGCCGCTGCATTGAAACCGCATCCGCCACGAGGGGATCGAAAGATGCTACAGCGTGTTCTTGGACAGTGTGATATGGAAACAATCCAAAGGGCAAACCAAGCGTCAGCTGCAGTGCTCGACGCAAGTAATTGATGGAAGCGGGCAGGCGGGCTGACCCTTTGATTATGGGATGGGATGGAGAAGAAGACGCCTACCAAGCCCGAGGGGTTTGCGGCGCACCCAATACCTGGCGACCTGGCTCGCTGGTAGTTAGGACAGGCAGCTCTTCAGCCTCTCTGCGTCCCGGGTTGGAATCTGCTTAATGACATCCATCCGCCCAATTGATGGACGGGCTCCTCTTCTAGCTGCCTAACTAGTTTGGTTGCCTTTGACCGAGGCGCACCTCTTACTGGTATTTGTCTCATGACCAGTCATCTGCGAGTCGCAGGACAGGGGAGGACTTGGAATTGTGCCAAAGTGTCACCCACCTGTCAGCCCCTTCAGCCCTATCATAGAGATAATTGTGGGGGAACCACTTTCAGGGTTCCAGATATAGCACCCAACTCACAGCAGCAAGCCGCATCATTTTGCGATCGACCCTGAAAGTGTGCCCTCGCTCGGCCAGCCCTTTGCAAGACTAAACCAAGACTATCAATCCCTTGACCTCACTAGATGCATAAGCTCATTGGGGGCTGAAATCCATCTTCCGAGGATGATAACCACATACTGTATCAGCGCCCCTGGAGACTGCACGCTTCGACTTTGTCTTGGACTTGCAGCACGCTTGCCGCTCGAGAAAATAAGCAGGGTCCGCACTCAGCCATTCATCGATGTTTCTTGAGATGCAGAATGTCTCGGTCCCATTCATTGTACAGATGGCGGCACAGTAAAGATGCATTGCATAGACCCGGAACTGCGTTGTGTCATTCATAGCGGTAGCTGGCAATCACTTGGTATCACCGGCTGTTGAGGCCCGAAAATCACTCAGCCTCGTCTTCAAAGCTTGGAAGGATAACGTCGAATCCAGGGTCTTCGTCTATCTCGACGTCTGGGGTACCATTCTCGTCAACTTTCACTTGTGGTTCTTTCTGCCTCGCCTTCAGTCGATAAGCTATCCAGGCCCCGTCGCCCAGCCCAGCCCCAAGCGGGTTCTGATTGAGAACGGAGGGCCTTCCTCCAATTTTCGTTTTGGCACCCTTAGGACCAGCGATCTCTTGCTCCTTGGTGTCCATGGGTACCCAGCCTTTGCTGGGGTCCTTCTTGTCCGCTAACACGCCAAATTCCAACTCTTCTGGGTCATCTGGTAGAGGCGCACTAGAGTTGGGTAATGTTTTCAGGTTGCGTGATTCAAGGGCTGCGAGCAAGAGAGCTTTGATCTCGGTGAACGGTTTGGTTGGCAAAACCGACAGTGCGGTCGTGGACTTGTGGCACTTGAATAGTAGAGTGATCATATCTGGTGTCGGCAGTTCGGCCAGTTGGTCCTGAGAGATGAATGCCATCTCGTTTTCGATGCTGCAATTCCTCTCGAGCAGTGGAACCTGAACGGCGACGTATCTAGGCCTTAACGTAGGTATGAGGACTAAAGAACTGCTTCAGAGTTTGACCGAGTTGCCAGTTGAGGACGCAGCAGTGTAGTTGAGAATTATTTTACACCGATGAATTCTGGAATTTCGCAGGGTGAGGCGCGACTAGACGCGCCGCAGGCAGAGATTGCACGCAGGAGCAACCGCTGCACTTGACGAGGCTAAGCGGGGGTGTGCCAAGCCTTGAACTAACCTCAACGCGCTGGGCAAAGCTTCACCCTGAAGCTGCAAACCCATGTTATAGATCTTCTCATCTACCGACCAATCCATTCCATCATTGTCAGTGTGCCGCATTCTGACCGTCAATAATAGGATCAGCATGCTGAAAGCAGTGAAGCTGAATTCGAGAGCAGCTTGGGGTTGACGTCCATTAGATCGAACGCGAGAGCAAAGCTTCGGAGTTGCGGGCTCCCGCAGCTGTACACAGCGCGAATGCAAGATGTGGCCCTTCAAGGTCTCACAAGACGACGACAAAGACAATCTCCGACTATCCTCCAAAGTAGAACCTCCGCTGCCTACGTTATCACCCAAATCAGATTCCAAGGTGGAAACAAATGAGGAGGATGCATTGGTCAGATTTACAGGATGGCCAAACGAACGGCTTTCGATTCCATTGATTCTGCGCGCCCCCACCTTAATGTTAGCATCTTTTGCTTGCGGCTTCAGTTTGGGAGCTTCTCAAGGGGCTACAAAGGGCGCATATCGATATAGAGCCGAAAATGCGCATCGTCTCCCGACAACCCAAACAGGGTGGTTCCTCTACCAAAAGTCCAAAAATTACCATGCGATGCTCGGTGGAATCAAAGAAGGTGTTCGATTCGGATCTATTTGTACGAGCTGGGCGACACTATTTATGGTCACAGAAGAGATGGTTGATCTGTCTAGAGCTCGCCTTTTCGCAAGAGGCGATGACGATGTTGCGACCGGGCAGAGGGACTTTGGCAGTACAGTTATTGCTGGGATGACCCTGGCCGGCATCTACAGCTGGAAAAGGGGACTGGATCATTTTGCTGCTGCTCGAACTGCAAGGAGTGCGCTGAGATTGTCCCTAGCGTACGGCCTCGTGCAAGATCTGGCAGCGTCACTCCGAGGAAACCCACCAGCTTACGTCTCGTGGCTGAAGAGAAAAATTTCGGGGTGAGGACAGCCGACAGAGATCGGAATTCTCCAGAACAGCATCGGCAGAGAAGTTCGCCTCTTACCAGGAGACAAGCGACGCCCTCCATACCTACTTCCTGGTCACGGGCTGACCAGAGGCTATTGACGAACCACGATGAAAACCCTCGAGACCTTAGAAGCGCAGTCGATAAGAAATAGCTCAGCCGCTAAGTGACATTTGCCGACACCTAGCCTTGAATTTGGCTGAAGAGAATGTGACTAGTTTGGGATGAAGGGAATGTTACCGCCGGTTTACACGTAAAAACACGATCTCGCGGCATCGACGGGAGATAAATCACGTAAATGAACAGCGGGAGCTACAAAGGCACTTGAGCCAGAGCCTCAGATTCGCATCCACAGCACGGTTTGGGAAACAGGAAGGCAAATCTGGAGCAACCGTTCCAATCGAAAGCAGGGTGTGACAGCGGATGCAGGGCTGAAAGATTCTCTTTGACAGCCACTCACTGCAATCAAGAAATGTTCTGGACGTGTTCTAGTGGACGATGTGGCAGTTCCCGCTGGTACTGTACTGGTGCTGGGTACATATGCCCAGAAGACGCTCAGAGACCCTCTGGCGTCTCTATCTGGGCAAGGCCGATGGAGACGGAGTTCGCTGTTCCGGGCAGCGCCTATGCAGGTGTGGGCTTCGTTCATTTGGCTGTTTAGGCACGGTCAGTCCCTGAGCCCTGAAATTGCCAGCAGGAGACACATGCCCGTATGGTTGGATCGCTTAGGATTCTCAGCTTGGGTCCTTAAACGGTCTCAGTTGTCATCGGCAGGCTGATGGTAGCGATTGCGCCATAGGTCCCTGACCCTGTTGACGCATGTCGCTTTATCTCTCCACCGCGTTGCGTACTTTACATATATGTATCATGTTCTCTTCTTTTCTGATGCGGTGAGAGAAGTTCATGCTGGTTGCTAGGTGAGTACCTTCCCATCGGCCGTATCACCATCTTGCGATCTAGAGCAATAATAAATACGAAGCAATAATTTCGGAGTATTCTAAAGTGCAATCACGCCAAAGGCTAGTGGGCTAAAGAACAGGAGGGAAATGAACCCTGTTTCGGGCGTATTACATATGTAGACGAAGAGTTTGGGTGGCAGAGTGCTAATTTCCTTTACCCAAAACTTGTCTGTGGGCGGCGTCATGCAATCCTTCCATCTCTGTTCTCGAAACATTGTTCTAGCGGCCTTCTCCAGGATGGATATGCTGTTCCCCGCCACGGCAGCCACCCACAGTTCACCGCCCACCACCTTGGTGCATGCTGGCCTCGCTGGATAGACGGGACCCTGGTTTGACACTTGCGGGCTGCAGCTGCACGCCTCTGCTTCTTTGCCTTGCTCGCTTCTAACGCTGGATTCCTGAGGCCCTTCTTTGGATGCGGAAATTCCCTCCAGCGCTTTTTCCAAAGCATCCATATATGACTTCCTCCTGTGAGACCCAAGACCAGTGTTGAGCTTTGTTGAGCTTTGTTGACCTCAAGACTCCACCACGACCACCTCTATTCTGCGTTTGCCGACCCACCGCTTTCCCCAAAATCCGGCATCGATCCAAAGTCGTCACCGCGCGACTGCGAAAACCCTCGTTGAACCCTCGTCCCCGTCTACCCGTGCCGACCAGCTCGTGCCATTCCAGACCCTACCGTTACTAAGCCAAGGGACTCACAAACACTCCTACTGGCGCCCAACAGGAGACCTATCTGGCAGACCGACTCTTTATCTGAGACTTTGACTTGGTCTCCAATTTTCTGAAGGCGCAGTCACGGTCAAGAGGGGAGTCGCACCAGTATTTGTGAGAAACATGGGATGAGGGGCATTCCATCAAGAGCAGGAGTTCATTTCGCGTGGACACGCGCTCAGACTCAGTAACCCTCCAACAATCATGCGGCGACATCATGGACGAGCATTGTCGCCCTACCATGGCCGCACGGCCGCCCCTCCCTCCGCAGAAGTCTCCTTGGTCCGCAGTTTTGACTCCAAGATCAACCCGTCGAGACCTGCCAGACAATCCCCTCTAGCAACGTCTCAGATTCAGGGCATGCCATTAGACTTGATCGAACGTATTCGCTCTTTTCCTCTCTTCCAGTCCACCTCAGATGACTTCCTCGCTGACATTGGCCTCCTCCTCAAACCCCAGCTGCACAACACCAACGACTACATCATCACTGAGGGCGAAGATGCTAAAGCAATGTATTGGCTCGTCCGTGGCGCTGTCGCTGTCACGTCTCGGGATGGCGAGAGTACCTTTGCCGAACTAAAGCCCGGCGCCTTCTTTGGAGAAATCGGAATCCTCATGGAACGCCCTCGCACCGCAACAGTAGTCGCCCGAACAAGGTGTATGGTCCTGGTGCTGAAGAAGGAGGATCTGAAAAAGATACTGCCAAAATATCCAGACGTGGAACAGGCCATTCGAGACGAGGCATTGGAACGACTGACGCAACTAGAAAAGAAGAAGAGGCAGGTGCTGCTCGGCACGGAAGATGTCCCAAATCACGAAAGAAGAGGGTCCAAGAGAGCAAGAGCTACGGTTGGAGACGATGTCTACATGAGAGACAGTGACGGGAGCGTCACTAGCTCAAGCAAGCGGCGCAAATCGCCCAGCCCAGGAACGAACGAGGTGTCAACAGCCAGTGCCTTGGGACATGGTCTCGTCAACATCCGCGCTACCTTGAAGGAGCTGCCGTTGTTTGCTTCTCTGCCTCCCGATATTCTTCATTTCCTCGGCCTCAGTGCTCAGCCAAGAAGCTTCGCACCATTCACAGACATCGTCAAACAAGACACCCGAGGCCGAGAGGTCTATTTCATTGTCCGCGGCGAGGTTGAAGTGTTGGATGAGAGGCATGTGTCAATTCCTAAGCCACACAAAGCCGGCGAACCGAATGGCGTGCCGGGGACACCACGGGTAAAAGCCCGACTCAGGCCAGGGCAGTACTTCGGCGAGGTTGTGAGTCTGTCGTTAGCGGATCGTCGGACAGCTACTGTGCGATCGGTAACTCAAGTCGAATGCTTGATGATCTCTGAAAATGTGCTGGCGGATTTTTGGAACCGCTGTCCCCCGAGTATCCTACGGCAGATTGAGGACACGGCGAAGCACCGATTGCGACTTGCGTCAGATAATGACGTTGTCATGAACGACGCAGATGCAACGCCTGACATTCATGATCTTGAAATTGGAGACTCGAAAGAGAGGAGACAAAAGAAAGTTCACAATGGACCCCGAGTAACGTTTACAGACACAGAAATCAGTAGTTCCACACAGCCTGCTCAGACGGAAGAACCCAACAATACCCTTGAGCCTTCAGATCCCGATCCTTTCTTGAGTGAAGGTCTGGAAAAGGTCAGATCAAGATCAAGGAGGGGTTCACTTGCTCCGCCGCCTCCAGATGAACCATCAAAAGATCAGAGACGCCGGTCTCCTCGATCATCCCCTACTAACACGGCCAGCCCATCCCCCAAGAGTTCTGCATCTGGAACACCATCTCCCACCTCCGAGTACAAAGGCAGCAGCAGCTTTCCGTTTTCCGATCCCTTCTCTCCAGGCGGCCGACCCAAACCTCGACCAAGGTCCAGCCGCGGGTTGAATCGGGGAAGTATCCCTGATAAGCTGCTGCCGCAGATTCTTGAATACCTCGACTTGCATGAGTTGATGTGTTTACAGGGAGTTTCTCTCCATTGGCAGAACGTTCTCAATAATGCACCTAATTTATTACACTGCCTTGACCTATCACGTTATAATCGGAAAGTCACGGACGACATACTAATCAACCGCATCTGCCCTTTTGTAGGAGACAGACCTAGATTCATCGACATCAGCAACTGCTTTCATGTCACTGACGAAGGTTTCGCCGCTCTGGTGAACACATGCGGAGCCAATGTCCAGGGTTGGCGCATGAAGAGCGTCTGGGACGTCACTGCTCCAGCCATCCTGGAGATGGCAAACAAGGCTCGTGGACTCAAGGAAGTCGACTTGAGCAATTGCCGGAAAGTCAGCGACACGTTGCTGGCGAGAATAATTGGTTGGGTCGTGACCGCACAACCTCAGGCACCTAGCAGCCGCACAAAAGTCAACTCGCAGCGTCCTGTACTCAATACCAAGCTTAGCAACAACGCTCCTCCACACCAACCGCCCCCGGGAACAGTCATCGGATGTCCAGAATTGAACTCAATCACTTTGAGCTACTGCAAACACATCACTGATCGAACCATGGCGCATATCGCAACACACGCCCACAATCGGATTGTTTCAATAGACTTGACTCGCTGTACGACTATAACAGATGCCGGGTTTCAGTTCTGGGGCAATGTGAAGTTTGAACGGTTGAGGAGACTCTGTCTGGCCGACTGTACATACCTCAGCGATCAGAGCATCGTGTGGCTCGTCAACGGGGCAGGTAATGGTCTAAGACAGCTTGACCTGGTAAGTGTTGGCGTTTCCAACGAATGTCGTCAAGTCGCTCGCTGACTAGTGTCTTTCAGTCCTTCTGCTGCGCACTTTCCGACACGGCCACCGAGGTTCTTGCCCTGGGCTGTCCGAATCTCACCCACCTGAACCTCTCCTTCTGCGGCAGCGCTGTCTCCGATCCGAGCTTACGGTCAATCGGCCTCCACTTAACCTCCCTTCGCGAACTCGCTGTTCGAGGGTGTGTACGGGTAACTGGCCTTGGTGTCCAGAGCGTGGTCGAGGGATGTCAAAAACTGAACCTCTTCGATGTGAGTCAGTGTAAGAACTTGCAGCCCTGGTTGGTAAGCGGTGGAATCGAGCGGTGGCGGTCGATGGGCCGGGATGTTGAGTTTGTGGTGGTTAGTTCAGGAACGAAGTTGGTCCGGTAAAGAGATTTGTGACAATGTGCCATCCCTGGTCGCTGTATTACTGTTGCAACAAGTTCAAATTACGGCAAGCGATTCTGTCTGTATGTGTGAAAATATGGAGTCACGATTTGCCCGCAAAGAGATGCGGGAGTGCCGAGCCACGAGAAAGGAAAACTAAAGTCGACATTTTACGAGATTCTGGAACAAAGAGCCGAAGAATCTGACGAGCTACGATAATGAGGAGTCCAGAACGATACGGATCTATCTACTAACTATCTATCTATCCATGTATCGATCGATGAGGAGATGGGAGGAGAAGAGCGTGAGAGTGACCGGGAGAGACGAAGGCCCCTGAGAAGGGGGGATTCGAGATGTTGTGTTGGATGGTTGCTAGTTGCTTTCTTGCTGTTGTTGTTATCTGTTATTGTTGTTCTCGTTGTGAACTACGTACTAGCCAGCATTTACGGACAGATACCCCCCACCTACTACTGCTATATTCTTTTCGCAATCAAATCACCATTACTGCTGAATGGCCTTTTCTTCTTCGGTGTTTTCATGTTGTGAAGAGAGTTTGAGTTTTGAGGACCAGAGAGAGCCCTGGAGTCCTGTTGAGAGCTATGGGATCTGTCCCCTCCAGCCTTGCGCTATTTTGTATAAGAATAAGTGGGTAAGAGTGTAAGAGTCGTAGAAGACGGCTCTGTGTTCACACCTGGTTGTCTATACCTCTCTTTGTTCGAGACTCGGGTAGTTGTGCCTCGTCCTGCGTACCGTGATTTAGACCCTGGTTTTGCTGGAACCTCTGGTAGGTTTCCAGAAGTTTCACAACAGCCCAATGATTGTCAACCCTGGCGTACTCGGCGGCCTTCTCGCAGATACCCGAGAGCGATTCGCCATCCTTGAGCTGATAATGATCGAGCAATAGCTTGACCATGTCCAACCGACCCATTTCAGCCGCGCCATTGATCGCTGTTCTGCCGTCTTCCTCCGCTTCGGGGGCACCCACATCCGCTCCAGCTGCAAGAATCAGCTGCGCAATTGGCATGTAGCCCTCAATTGCGCCAGCTTGAAGAGCGGTAACTCCATAATATTTGCTAGCCGGGGCGTCAACATTTGCTCCATGGTCGAGGAGTAATTCCACAAATTGTACATCCCCGACTTCACTTGCCACTTTCAAAGCTGTACGCCCGCAGTTATGAGCAGCAGGCACATTGACGTCTGCTCCATGTCGCAGCAGCAACTTGACAATGTCACAGTTTCCTTTCCTGACCGCAAATTGAAGAGCCGTACTCCCCGAATCTGAAGCGTGAGGCCTGTTGGGGTCCGCACCTCCTAAGAGAAGATATTCAAGAGCCTCTGAACTCCCTTTTTGACACGCTTTTTGCAAGAATGATCTGTAATCTCGGAAAGGATCTTCTTCAACTTCTGTGTCAATACCCAACCTTCTATCTGCGAGTGTCCGAATGAAGCTTACGTCAACCCCATCCCACATATCCAGGAGTTTTCGACTCCCGCAACAGGAAAGTCGGATAGCAGAGCTGTGCTGGAGAATTGTGCGTACAATCTCCATCGCCCACTTCCCCTTGCGACGTATCGTATAGCTTTTCCAGCGAGAGAAAACCCAGAGTTTAGGCGGACGTCGATGTCGATTCCGAGATCGAAGAGCATTTGGACGGACTTCATGGAACCATATTGTGTTGCTTTGATAAAAGGGTAACAGTGACTTCCGTCTTCCATTTCGACAGGAGAAAGGTCTGCACCTGCTGCGATCAAACGCCCGAATATCAACTCTGAATCTGCTTCGACGGCCGCCCACTACTGCGGTTCGTCCATCTTCCCTGGCGATGTTCCCATTGACGTCCGCGCACCACCGTAGCAGGAGTTCTTCCAGCTCCTCTTCTTTACAGAGAACAGCTGCTTGCAAAGTTGAGAGGCAACCTGTCGGAGCACAGGGAGCGTTGACGTCCGCACCCATTTCCAGCAAGAAAGTCACAATCGCGATATTTCCACTCAGGGCCGCAGATTGTAGTGCCCTTCTACCCGCATACCCGCAGGCAGGGTCACTGATCCTGGCGCCAGCGTAAACTAAAATTGATATAATGTCAATGTCTCCATTGAAGCAAACCGCTTGTAGGGCAGTTTTGGATCCGTTAACTTTAGAATATTCGTGTATATGTGCCCCATGCCGAATAAGGATCTCGACAGCTTCACGAAGACCAGTGAATGCCGCAAAAGCAAGTGGTGCACAGCCATTCGAGCCGGATTGATTTGCGCCATGCTGTATGAGGTATTCTAAAACGCCTGTTTGGTTGGCGTATATAGCCGCCTGCACCAGATTTTCGCAGTCTCGGGCAACAATCAAATCATGGATACCAAGGGGAAAGGGTCGGAAAATTGGCTTGTATGTGTTCGAATCCACGTCGGCACCTTCCTGCAGCAACAGCTTACAGATGTCCGGGTTGCCCACTTTGGCGGCGAGCAACAATGGAGGCAAACATTTCACCCGTTCGCCATAGAATTCAGGGTAAGCGCCATTTCGCAGCAAAAACTGTGTTAACGAAAGATCGTCCCTATTAATGGCGTAGCCAATCGCATTCCAACATGCTTCGTATTTGCCATCTATGGCGTTGATGTTGGCCCCTTCAGCTAGAAGAGAACAAACATGTTCAATTGATACCCCGGCCTAAACAGCCCATGGCAGAACTTGGGTTTTCTCGCTCGCGGGCATCCGAGCAAGAAGTGGAAATACGCTTGGCAGATATTGCGCTGCTGGACCGCAGAAGTCCTTGACCAATAAGGTAATCGATGTGGATCGTTTGATCCTCGTCGTTCCAGATCTTTCCTTGCAAGAGTCTCAAGCAAAATGCTTCATTTCTGTGCTTGATTGCTCCCAAGAGCATTTTCAGTAGGAACGACTGAATTCTCCGAGAAGATATGCAGTGGCCAGCCCATAGATATTTCAGCAGGTCTACCAATTCATACCTATTTTCCTGGGCCGCGTAGATTAGCAGTCGGTCTTCGAAGCTCCAGATACATGGTGATTCCAAGTGAACCAGACGCTTGAGCGAATCCATCTTGCCCTCACGTAAAAGGTAGTCCACAGAGCGGTCAAAGTAGATGTCACCCACGTGATTGTTTGCACAAAGATATATGACAAGCTGACTAGTAAAAGCTGGTCGATGTTTCCAGCTTGATGTGCCAACACATTCAGGTTGTGGCGGACGTGATCAGGCTCCTGCAATGGAAAGTAATTGAGGAATTCTGTCGCAGTAACTTGCCTCGGCTTTCCGACTGCGTCTAGCTGCAACAGATGTTTGACGCCTGGTGGGACTTCGATTGCAGTGTCATGGGAAAGGGCATCTGGGGAATTTTGGGTTGAGTGTTGAAGGGATCCACAAAGTTGTTGTGCTTGTTGAAGAACCGAAAATCCGGGGAGCCGGATGCTTGAGAATGCCGAAGGGTTCAGAAAAGCTCTCTGGATAGAGATTCCTTCGGGAGTGGAAGGCTTTTGCGCTCTACCGAATTTTTGCTGCAAAGTTGGAATATGATGTCTTCTTAAAGCCCTTTGAAGTCTTGTAGGCTTAGAGTAACGCCGTTCACTTCTCCCCCAGATTAAATACCAATACATACGGCTGGTTAATTAATAAGGCTGAAGAAGGAGAAGTGACCACAGGCCGCGTGGGAGACGTGGAGGGCGCGACCGCCCCAAATGATGAAGCTGGTGCTGGGAGTGAATAGTCCAGCTCCGGAGCTGAAGACTCGAGCATGCAGCTCGACTGGATGCAGCGACCGCCATGGTTGAGAAGTGAGCAGTTATAATAGCATGCGGTAGAGCGTTGGAGCAAGGCCGGGAGAGGAGCGATGGCAACCAAGCAATGAGGAGTGGATAAAATCGGACTCGATTGGCTGATGCTGAAAGTTCGATGGGGCGGATTGACTCGCAATCATGTGTGCATAGATGCTGTAGGGGGAGAGGTGGGAGTTGGGTGGGAGTGAGGATGGTGACAGGAAGGCGGGAAGTGAGATCCTGGGGCCTCCTTTGCTGGCAATCGAATCCATCCTCCCGCCATCGTCCAGGTTTGGCCAATGGTGGCTACTCCTTCTTGTCCCAAATGACTGGCCAGCAACGAAAGTACGCCGGGCATATGGTCTGTGATGGCCCCTAGGCTATGTACTTTGGGCGTTCCCCAATCACAACATTCCCACAGCTCCTGTTTTGCGCCGAAACAGTGTGCAAGGATGCTCGTCGTCATTCTTATTGTCAAAGCCTCGTACGTCTGTCCTTGAGGGGTCTCAGTGAAGTTCTGGTCTTCTGCCAATCGACCTTCTTTGAAGGCGGAGCCTTGCGATCTCGGAAACATGCCTGTAGTCCTTCAACGCCGGAGCTCTGAGCTAATTGTGGCGTTGGTGAAGTCCAAACTTCCGGCGACAGCCAATATCTTCGTCCCTTAGCATGGATTTGGCTAGAAGAATATATCTCGTGGTCGAGGTTCACCCAACAGAGACGGCGAAAGAACCATATATATGCGTTCCCGCCTCACAGAGACGCATAGGTCTGTCATTTGCTTCTTAGATTCTGCGTAGACGAGCTTTCAGTGCTCCATTTGCAAGGCATCTTTCTGCAGAGACTGTTGTTGGCATCATCGCAGTTATCGTCGCACTTCCTCCTCTGATGTTGGCCACCGTGAAAGCATAGCGACGGCGTTCACGGCATGTTCACCTCCCAATATATGAATGTCGTTGGCTCGTCCCAGGGCAGGTTGGTCGATGTAAGGAGAGAATTTGTCGCAGAATAAAGATGGCTTGCTAACAATCCTCTTGACAGCAGCGGCTCAATGGAGTGGGCTTGTCCCTACCGTCATCCAGCCAAAACCAGCAGTTCTGCCTCATCCAAGATCCCTTCCATTACCCACCTCTCCCACAGAACGGGTAATACGCCATCCGACTTGGTGAGGACGAAATTCATGATTCGAAGCCTCAAAGCAGCATCCTATATAGTTGGCGTTGTCTCGGGCTGGGTTGAGACATTTCCAATGCACACAAAAACGGGTGATCTTCAGGGTATTGTATAGAGATTGTTGGTTAGGTTATAGAGCTTTTCTTCTTTGCAGACATCCCCCGAATGTGCGGGCTATCGGGGAAATGCTCTATGTTACTGAGGAGCCTCAATGCAGTCTAGGCACAGCAAACAGGCGGATTGATTGCGGGCAGCTTGAACCAGATGTTACTCTGAAATGTGGAATGTTCAAGGACCTTCATAAACGGCGATCACATTCAGGCTCGAGATACAGAGAAGTCTTGAGAAGTCAAAGTCCTCGAGAATTTTATGCCCCTGGACAAGATTTTATTGATCCATGGAGGCCTCACTAGCCCCAAAACTGTGGGGAAAGTTTGGACAGACGATCAGGTTCCTGCATATTCCGTAGTATTTCCATCTGCCTACTGTCACGGCTTCAGAAAGCAGTTCACCACACAAGGCCACTCTCTCTGTCCCTAAAAGCCTCCCGAAAATCACCCAACATGGACTTCAAATCCCTGATGTCAGCCCAGATCGCCAAATCAAAACCACCGCCTTCAAAATCTCCTTCCAGTCCCTCCCCAGTTCCCAACTCTCCCACTTCCACAACGTCCAGTAAATACGTCCGCCGCGCCGACCTTGAAGCGTCCAGACAAGCCGCCTACCTCGCTGAACAGGCCAAACTCTCAGCCGAACGGGAAGAACGCCTTGCAAAGAAACGAAAACTCGAGGAGGAGGAAGAGGAACGGAATGCGCGTAGGGAGGAGAAACTGCGGAAACTGGCCGACGAGTCAAGGCGAAGGAGAGAAGAAGAGGAGCAGCAAGAGGAGAGGAAACGAAGAAAACGCCTTGGGCTGCCTGAGATACCAGACCAACTAGCTCTTGGAGACGGGAAGACAGGCGAAGGGAAAGAAGGTACAGGTGAAGCCGGGGAGGATATCCCCGACGACGAGCTACGAAGCAAACTCCGCGAACTCGGTGAACCGGCTACTCTCTTCGACGAAGATCACTCTGCACGATTAAAACGCTACTACGCCCTCGCCCAAACCGCTCTGGCGAATTCACCAAAGCTGAGCAATGGACCCATCCCAACCACATTAGAACCCGTCGCGGAAAAAGACATGCTCCTCCCCTCAACCCTCCCTCTTCAACCGGGAACAAAAGAGTACGCATTCCTCTACCGCCAGCTTGCGTCCTACTTCACGCTCTTACTCACCGAATGGTCGCTTGCACTCTCCGAACGAGATGAGTTGATCAAGCAATCCTCCAGCGGCAAAGCCGCGTACAATAACTATCTCGTTGTGTTGAAAGACCTCACCCCTCTGTTCCGGCAGTTCGAGAAACAATCCCTCGACCCGAGCTTGCTTGAACCGATCTGCAAGATTGTGCGGTCCGCCCAGAAGAGACGGTACGTCGAGGCAAACGACGAGTATCTTACCTTGTCGATCGGCAAGGCGGCATGGCCGATCGGTGTGACCATGGTTGGTATCCACGAACGGTCCGCAAGGGAGAAGCTGCATGAGAGCTCGAGCGGGAAACAGGCGCATATCATGAGTGACGAGGTGACGCGGAAGTTTCTGCAGAGTATTAAGCGGTGCATTAGCTTTGCGCAGACGAGATGGCCGCCCGAAGATTTGGGCCAATTGATGGGGTGAACCAGACGGGGTGGTGGGAACGAATTTGAAGCAACATACTCGACTACCGGCCGTCAAAGCCAGAAACCTTGTCCTCCATTCAACGGATGTATCATGTGGAATACGACAGACAGATGTCCCCCGCATCCTATTGCCGGCCCATTCAGAGTCGCCACGGTCTATTCTGTCCAGAAGGCCTGACGTTATCTCCCCGACAGACGTCACATATCATGTCCCCACTATATCCTGATCAAGATGGACCCAGGCTATATCTGAGCGTTCCGGCAAGATCCTCACCAAAAGCCGGGCTATCACAACCAATTCCTCTGGTCTGGCATGCGAACATGTCTATTGGACAAAGGAGGTGTCCTTCTGCGCTTGCAGAAAGAGGTTCGAGACCTAGGATGAGTTGATGTTTGCATGCCTAACCCACTGGTAGGACAAGTTGAAATATGGCGACCAGGGCATCTCATCACGAGTCTCCAATCTCCTAACGCCTTTTCGGCGATGCGCAGTCGTTCGATTCGATCCGATGTGTTCTCCCAACAGGGCATCCATCCCCCCGATCATGCCCCAGTTTCGCGACAGCCGACTTCAGTCACCTCATTTCGCCCTCGATCGCCGCAGTCGCAAGCAGCTTCTTTCCAGTCAACCCTGTACTCGTACGAGCGTCCGTCGCCCATAAAGTGGTACCACGACTTGGGAATGGAAAGAAACAGGAAAGCCTGGGCCGGGAGCGATTCATCGAGAACACCCTCATCAGAAGGAAGTCCGTTGGAAGCGCTGACACATCACACATGCGCCCCAGGATGATTCCAAGTTGGAGGGGGGGATGGTCTATACTACTCCGCACGGTAGACGCGAGGCCGCGAGCCTGTCTTAACCAGGGAATCAGAGAGGATCAGAGAGGAATCATTTCTAGAACAGTCTTTGTCTTTGTTACTAGTATTGAGTACAGTAAAGTAAAAAAAATAGCTAATGCGCCTGTCTGGTATACCATATATAAAACGCATCAAATAACCGCCCCGCCCCATAATCTCTGTATCGAGGATGCCTGGTACTGATATCCCTAATAATATCCCTGATAGTCTAGAGCAGAAAAAACCCCCCCCTTCTCTTCCCGTTGGGAAGAATGCCATTGGGTATCGCAATCGTCAAGAAAAACCGGGCTCGCTAAGAGGTCGACCCCGCCGGGGCGTGCATGAGCACTCGTATTCCCCCCCCCCCCTCAAATGGGAAACTAGAGATCCTGCCCCCCCTTGTTTCTCTTGTCGTCTATACTTATCGCGCATGACTAGGTCGCGACAATCCCACATGTCAGACGTCTGTTCCGCTGCTCCGGGGTAGGATATTTTGCACCGAACCTTTTCCGTCTAGCGTCGTGTAGCCACACCGCTTTACGCAGGCATTGTATATGGCGCGT